CCCTATAGGAACGACTGTTTTGCGAATCGCTATAGCGATCATAAAAAGTCATCGTCATGCGGATTCGTTGTTTAGTGGGTCGTCATTTAGCGAGGTACCACTGTACTTATTTGTTGTTGTTGTTGTTGTTGTTTCTTACCAAAGTAGCTGCCAAGAAGGACAGAGCAAACCCATGGCAGTGCCTGTTGCTCATTGTTTTAGTCACTCATCGCACTTGAAAGAGACAAGTAAACAGGCAGGGATGGCAAGGATAGAGAAAAGCAGAGCCAAACAGCTTCAGGGGCACTCCACTGTGCTGCAGGCCTTGGTAAATGCCCAGCAATACGAACCTCTGAATACTTTGACTTAAAGCCATTACAAAATGTGCTTATTATTTGACTAACACAGCACCTGCTTCTATAAACCAGAGTAGGTAGTTTCCTAGAGTCACACAGAACACCTTCGAGGGCATGCTGAGAAGATGATTATATAGGGCACTGGATGTACACCCTGTTACGAACAGTCAGTTGTGCCAGTGCTGTATTGATCCCCTAGTGATATATACTTGAAGCAGTAGGGAATACAAGGCCAGGTTTATGTTTTACGAGCTGAAGGCTTTGTTTCTCTGGCATGACAGAGACCATTGCCCATGGTTGTCATCCTCATCCTGATATTGCCTCTTGCCTTTCAAGTGCTTTTCCTTGAAAGTGCGTATAAGAATCTACAATTCCCATTTGGCTAGACGTGAGAGCAAAAAAAGATTTGAACATCCCCATGTCAAGGGCCACCCATTTCCAGCCTGAATGGTAGGACTCTCACGACTGTGGACAAATGCACCAGTTATCTATTGCACTATTATGGCACGTGCTTTACAAGATCCTAAGGCATAACATGAAGGAACATGATAAACCCACTATCCTGAAACTAAGCAGGTTTGGGCTGGATCAGTGCCTAAAGGGGTGATAACTCTGAGGTCCACTACATGGAGTTATGTGGAAAAAATGTGGGAAATACCATTTTACCATTTTTCTAAATTTTCAGCTCAGAACCAAAGTAACAAACTAAGAACTGGGATGTGGTCACTATTATGGTTTCCATTTATGTAGGGCCCCAGTTCCCTCAACAAGAATACTGTCCTTGTCTCCTCTGATCTCACTGAATTCCCTTCCTTTCCCTCCCCCTTCCCTTCTCTTGTACTCCCTCTCAATGATCAACCTCTCCACTGTTGTTGTTTTTTTTAAATTAGAGTCTCATTCAGCTGAACACACCTTCTTGGCCAGGCCCCGGGTGCACTGACATCGTTGCAGCTGCGCCTCCAGTGTGCTGATCTTGCCCTCGGCCTGTGTCATTTTGCTCAGCAGCTCATCCCTCTCTTCCTCCAAGGACCGCACACGCTTGCGGTACTGGTCCTTCTCAACAAGGCTCTGGGAGTACTGCAGCTGAACGCCATCTCGGCTTTGGATTGCCTGAAAGAAACACCATCTTAGAAGAGAGAGAAAGATACCTGGGGGAGGCAGAACTGCATCCAGAGATAGGAATGCTTTTTTCCCCCAAAAGCCAAATTTTGATCAACGTATGCAAATTAAGCAACTTTGTCTATATCTGCATAATTTATGTGGATTCATTTACAATTCTGCTTCTAGCAACTGATGGAGGAGGCTCACTGTGACCTTCCTTATGTTGCTGAACTTTTAACTTCCACCAGTAGTAGCACTCCAATCACGAAGGATGCTGGGAGTTACTTTCCAAAAGGAACTGGAGGGCCACACACAGCCTGTCCCTGCTCCATGAGGGGATAGCAAAAAAAGAGGAGCCAATGCCTCAGAGAGGAACAAATCAGAAAGAAAGGACAGGCCACTCTGCCTTCTGCGACTCCTCCTGAATAGCAGATTGGATGTGATGATCCCTGAATGCTGAGGCTTTGCCAGCTGCCTGAGAGTGGCAGCCTTGAGTGTCTTACATCGCTAGACCTCCTGAATGAAAGAGATCTCATACTCTAAGGCAGCCCCAGGACCAGATACAGCTTTCAAGGCTATGCTGACCTGGGATCCTAGGAGCTATAGTCCAAAAAAGTGTAACTTTTCCAAGTTTTATGTTTCGCTAAAAAAACCCTACCTCTACCACCGTTCTAGCAAAAAAGAAGATTCCACAAATGAAGCAACTCACCTGGTCTCTTTCCTTCTCAATCTCCTCCAGCTGTACTAGCACAGTATTCATTCTGTGCTTGTACAAGTCACAATTCTTTTGCAGAGTCTGGTGCTTCAGCTGCAGATCTTCCATGTCTTGGAGGTACTGAGAGGGGGGGATACAAAGAAGATGACTCTTTCCAGACAGAGAAGTATTTAGGGCTCAATTTATGAGATTGGTCCTACAATCTCATTCAATTCCATTTTCAGAATTCAGATGGAGAACACATCCAGTGAGAAAAGGAGTTCATATGGACATATTTCCCATCTCCTCCCCTTTAACTTAGCCATCATGCATCGTCCAGACAATGTAGAAAGCAGGGCTTTTTTTTTTCATTTTGACTTCCCTAACGTCCTTTAGAGGAGGTGCTTTAAGAATGGAGTAGGGAAAATTCTTTTTGTCACATTCTGCTCTCTCTCAGTTGAAACCTATCAGGTTCTGCATTCCAGAAAGTAATGTGCTAGTACTAAATAAGGACAGAGTTACAGACAGAACTTGTGTAACCCATTGCAAGGACCCCAAAGTAACTCTGTACCATTCCAGAACATTTTTACTAAGTTGTTACATTATTCATTCCATTACCCATTGCTCTTACATTATTCTTCAGCTCTTTTCAGGAGCAGGGGGACTATCTGTCCAGAAAAGTGAGAAAAAGTACAAGCGTTTGTCTGATTTATTGACTGTAATAAAGGAACAGAAAAACTGGAATTGGAAATCATAAGAAAATGGCCTGAACATCAGAAGAGATGGAGAGATATGTCTTAAAAATACCCCCTTGAAATTTTTTACACTAAAGAAGTAACAACAAAAACTACTGAGTAAATATTAAACGTTGCTTGGAAAAAATAACAGCACTGCCAGCCAGTTCGCAAACATCATTGTGCCCTCCTTAGTTCCTAAACATAACAGGTTACATCCAGCACCATTACCAGTACATTTCTTCTAAGTTCTGGCGACCAATGCAGTCCTTCTTTTGCTTGCACTTTTTGTTAGAAATGGAGCAGAAAAGCAGAAATAATGTCAATAGCCCAGAGTGTGACTAGTAGGAGGTAAGGCTTAGGAGGAATCTGAAGTTGTGACTCTAGAGGCTTGGAGGCCTGCAGACTGGATGTTTCTCCTCCTTCTATTAAACACTGGATGCATCCTGACCAGGGGAAGGCAGGGGGAGTGGGCATACATACTATGAGGAGTGTACATCAATGCCTTTTGAATAATAAATGCCTGAGAGGGAAATATCTTACCTTATCTCTCAGCTGTTCTGCCCACTGCAGCTCATTTTGCACAGAGTCCAGTTTCTGGCACAGCTCCTGCCGGTCAGCTTGGGCTTCCTTCCAGTCATGCTCCAAAATGTCTAAAAGGATCCTCGCAGACCCAGACACCTGGCCTTCACCTGCCACCTAGTCAACAGAGGAGGACTATTACCAGTCTGCAGGGATGAGCAGAACTGTGGATGGTAGAATGGAATGAAGAAGTGACGCAGTGGGGCTTTTTTCAATATATCTGGCAGGAGCTCGAAAAATCCCCTTGCCCATTTATTCTAAAGCTTTTGCTCTCCCTATAGGCTTCCTCACCAGAATGGAAAAACATACCTACAGTACGGCAATTTTATGCCACTTAGTATTTTTCCCCCCAAAGAATCGTGAGAATTTTTGTTTAGAGTTCTCTGTTCCTGAGTCCACACTATTAAGACCCACTGCTCTAATATCTACCTGTGCACTCTAGGCCAGGATGGGTCAAGCCAAGATATCTGGCTACCCGAGGAAAAGCAGCAAATGACCTGTCCCTCCAAGTTAAAAGGCACAGAATCTAAGGCTCACCATGTTATTTTAGCATTGGAAGAAAAAAGGAAAAAAAAGACTAGCTGTCAAGAGCAACTAACGGCACAGACCAATAACATATTAAATAACTAACAAACTTGCTGTTCACACCTAAAATCAGGTACGTATTTCTCTGTGCCTAATAGCAGGAGCATTCCTGACATTTCTCCATGCTTATCTGCGTCACAAAATGTCCCCATGGACAAGGAGAGCTTCCACAACACACCTGGATGTTTCTATTTGTGTCAGCATCGGCGTGGCAGCTCTCCACATCACTCAGAGTGCCATGAGGAGGAGAGCAACTATTAGCTGATTACTTAGATATTTATTACAGCTCAAAACAATATAGATATATATGTATATGGTGCTTCCCACCTTCACTTTGTGTCTTCTCCTCTCCCGCACTACTATTTTATCCTTAACTCAACCCTGTGATGTAGGTTCAGTGGACAAACAGCACCAACTAAGTGAGTTTTGTAAATGAGCAAGCTGTCCTCAGTCCTAGACTAACAGCCACTACAATACACTGGCCAAAATCCTCTTGTGTAGCTATGCGAATGGCTAACGTTTGGAGGCGTATTGTCCAAGTAAAGAAAACATAGACATTGGGAGTTGCAGACTGAGTCATATAATTCAGTAAGCGATTGATAATGTCTACAGTGATTTCTTAACTCGGGGCAATTCAGCTCCAAATTTTACACTATTTGTGCTATGCTATCTTCAAAAATCAAATAATGCCTAGCCTGCCTCAGGATTGGCAGCTAGGTCTTGACTGAGCTACAAATGAACATCCCAAGGGGGGAAAATATATCCTCTACAACTTGAAAGAAAGGATCCAAGCTGTGTCAGATTGACACTGAAATGTCAAAATGTCACAACTAAGCAATGCTTTATGGTTCATTTTGAACATGATCATGTCTTCCGAGATAAGTTCCTTGTAATTACATGCTTTATGGGACCAGCTCTAAACCACTCCAAGTCAAAATTATACAATATACTGGTGATATCAAAATTTTGCTGAGCATGTAATAGATTTATACAGCTGATTGTATCCAGAGGCTGTCTTCTTTTTTTAAAAAAAAAATCCCCCTGAAGTAACTTTATATATTCTGTTGAATAACTCCTACGGCAAGGGAAAAGTTCAAACTGAAAATATAGTTAACGAGTTTTCCCCACATTTTAAAAACTAGAACAAGTTGTAAATTATGAAATAAAAGTGATACAAATAGCATTTGAAAATCAGGGATGTCATAGATCCTTAGCAACCTCTTAAAACCACACACATCAGAATGCTATAAACCACTATATATAGTGTGTTTTCAGGGCTAGGCCAGCCTTCTGCATCTATTTCTCTGAGGCTATGTGTATCTGACTCAAGACACTGGCATCCATAACCTTTTGCTAGAACACATTTCTTTCCCTGGGCTTCCAGATCCACCAAAGAGGAAGCTTTCAGATGTGCAAACTCTGCCAGAGGCAGCCCAAGCCATCTCCTTACAATTGTCACTTTCCAAAGCTTGAAAAGGATGCATTTGCAGACCACAACTCCCAGAATCCCCCAGGCAAGTATGGCCACTGGTCAAAAACAATAGGGGCCATCTTCCACGCAAGCAGAGGCAAGAGCCTTGAAATGGTTTCATCCGCAAAGTCAACTAAAGTCAAATGTTTATATAGCTTCATACTCTGTTTTTGCAAGCTTTTGTTCAAGCTTTTGCTGCCCAGAGACCTTTGGGTAGTATGGGCGCCATGTAAGTTAAATAAATAAATAAGTTAAATAAATAAACTTTCCCTTTCGTCTGTAATACCTGCTTTCAGTTAGGACCTGAGGCTTGAACATGTGTGTCTGACTATCCTAAGAGAAACCTGTCTCCCCACCTGCTTGGCTCTTCAGAAATTGTCCACCTATATTTGTATGTTTATTTATGCCCAAGGGGAAATGAAAGGAAAGCAGGCGGTTCCCTGGCACTGGTGGCAACAATGGCACTTGGTTGGCACCTTCGCCAGACAAATAAAAGCCAGAAGAAGGAAAGAAGCAGTCTCAGCAAGTCAGGTGATGTGAAGTTCTTTTCAAAAACATAATTAATTACAGTAACAGGAAAAGTAGTTAGTTGCCTTCAACAACTTTTTTTTAAAAAAGAATTTTAAAAAACATTTTAAAAAATTTCTATTTTCTCTGTCTTGAGGTGATACCTTTATGGAAAGCAGGCGGTTCCCTGGCACTGGTGGCAACAATGGCACTTGATTGCCACCTTCGCCAGACAAATAAAACCCAGAAGAAGGAAAGAAGCAATCTCAGCAAGTCAGGTGATGTGAAGTTCTTTTCAAAAACATAATTAATTACAATAACAGGAAAAGTAGTCAGTTGCCTTCAACAACTTTTTTTTAAAAAGAATTTTTAAAAACTTTTTTAAAAATTTCCATTTTCTCTGTCTTGAGGTGATACCTTTATAAATTAACCCCCAAAAAAGGAACCAAATATGCAAAGAGGCAAATAAAAATGTACAGGTTGTCAGAAACACTGGGCAAATTCATCTTGGCACAATTCCACTGGCGTAAACAGAATCAGGACACTGGAAATAAGTCATTAAAATTCATTAAACGCTTCCTATCAACTCGTTTCAGGTTCTGAGGCTCTCTAGGACTGGTTTTGCCCTGGGTAAGACTTTGGGAGCTTCAAACTAGGGGCAAAGTATTTAAAATTCAAGAACTGCCACTGGATTACTGCTGGTGGGCTTGATCCTGATGGTGGCAATCCAGCAACTATATCTCACTTTTAAAGTCCTCCCCTCACTTTTCTGAAGCACCCAAAGGCTTCCCCAGGGTAAAAGGGAGTCCAAGGGAGCCTCAGAAGCTGAAACGGGAAGCATTAAATTAGTTTACATTAATTATTTCTCCTCCTCCCAACTGGTTTACAAGGTACAAAGTTATGTAACAAGATTTAGCCCATTATCCTCCACCACATCCTGGAACAACATGCAAATTACAAGGATTTAAGATCAGCCTTTCATCCCCTTCCAGTTCTAATTCCCTATTCCGCTTATTTTAGCACCTTACTTAATGAAGGGATAAAGTTATCAAGAGTTTGGACTTTTCTGTGCGCTTATGAACCCTTTCTGTACCTTTTGGCTACCTATAAAGGCACAACCTCAATAAGGAGTCTAGAATTTACTTTGGGCCAATGTTGTCATCAATGCTTTTGTTTCTCTTTTATCAGTACAGTATTCAAAAACAACTAAAATCCTTACGTTCTAGTCACCTTAAAAAAAAATCAGAATGCTATAAGCCATTGTTCTGCGGTACAAAGCACATCTAAGCAATGATAACACATACCTTGCAACTATTCTTAAAAGAGTTACAAAGCACACACAAAAAAAGAGTGAAGCTATTCTTTGCTACATTACAAAGGTGATGTCACCTGGCTATTAATTAGTTTACATAAAAAGAAAATAATTGCTTCCAGGCTTTAAGGCAAACTACTAATTGGACAGAGGTCTGTCTCATCATAATGTTGTGACATAGAGTTAGTTCATGCAGGACAACTTTCTCAAAGCAGAGAAGCACTCAAAAAAACAACCTGGGCACATAAGAGTAATGGGAGCAGGGAGTCCTTTCATAGCACAGATACCATTTCTGCCATGAGCCGAGAGCTACAGCTGTTCAAACCACCCACTCGGAATCTGAGCAATATCTAAGTCAAAACAAGAAGGCTTTCCTTCGAACTGGTTATATTTTTAGCGTTTTAATAACCTGAGCCGTGATCTAACACAGCAATGACACCAGATCCCATTTCACAACGAATGCACTGAGAGGGGGAGGAGAGTAATCTAGCTTTCATGTCAAGGAATGATCTGCCAAGATCCATCTGTTCAGCTCATTTGTATTTTTAAATCAAACTAGGGAGACGGTCTGCTGCAGAGGTAATACACATATCCTTGAAAAACGGTGGGAAGGGGGGAGTCACTTTTTAGATGGCAACTCCCAGCATGCCCAGATGTAAAATTCCACTTAGGCTGTAATTTGAGGCCTCTACCCTTGCAGGAAACCCATGTTTCACACATGTGGGAGTTGCATTCAGCTACCTGATAGGATTCTCGGACTTGTAACGTAAGAAATAACATCTCCAAATATAAAGCAGAAGGACGGGGAAAATGAGGCAGAGCAAAGCAATGGACAACGATTCACAAAAAGGCATCATACTGCTGCAGAAAAAAAAGGGGGGGTAGCCTTGCTGGCACTGGCACCTTGTTTGACACATCCAGCCACATACTGGAGAAGCACAGGAGCCTCAGAGGCAAGGTCTGAGTCCCACCAGCAGCACCAGAGCCTCTGAGCCTCCAGCCCTCTTGTTCCAGAGCAAACCCAGGAGATGCCATTGTCTGAGTCCGGAGTGCTCTCTTGGTTCCTGTACCAGCCTAACTAGAATCTGATGATCCCCCGAGGCCAATTGGTACACACCAGGCCTTACAAACTCTTAAGCTCAAATTAACTTCCCAGCTCCTCATGTCTCAACAATCCTGGCCATCACCCTTTGGCTACATTGGGATAGGGAAAGTGTGCCATAAGGCCTCCACTGTGGCTCCCGGAAACTCTGTATCCCACCCCTACAATGCAGCTGTTTCTAGACAAAATAGTGAGGGAGAAATAATCCTAAAACCCCAACCCTAACCTTATTTAGGCCCCTAAAGACTCCCTCACCCCAAATCCAGAAGTGGACATCTATTCACATACAGGCCGGGACAAAGGCCCCTGTGGGCCTAAATAAGTTGCAGGGAATGGCCTGAAATCACTAATAGCCTTATTGAGCATTTGGAGCCACAGCAATTATTTCCGTTTTTAAAACACAGCCCATAGGGTGTCATGAGATGGGTGTCACCCTCTAAGGTTCCTGGGGAATGGGAGCTGCCCCCAGACCTCTGAAATGGGCCCACCCCAGCCTACAGCATCTTACCTGAAGCCCTCTGATACTTATTGGTTTGCAATATTTTGCATGCAAAGCTTATGCTCTGACACCAAGTTATGGCCTTCAGTCACACTAGAAAATGCTAGAAAGCCCACTGAAACCAAACAGCAGCAGCTTCAAGATAAATAAAAGATTTTTTTCCACGCAATTCATTGTTAGAAAGAGCAATCGGGAGATGTAAAGACGGCTGCCAATTTGGGCAGCATTAAAAGAAGACCAGGAAAATTCATACATAATAAAGGCTATAAGTGGCTTCCCATCATGATGATTATGGAGGGAGAGGGAATGAGATAAAGATTCCATTCATCATCACAGGCACTGTGGTTTTGAAGAATAGTTTCTAATAAACCTTAGCAGTGGCATTCTTATTAAGTACTTCTGCTCTGCTTATGGGCTTTCCATAGGCAAATGGTGAGCCACTACAGGTGAACCATCACATGGATAAATATTTTGTGTGATCACTTGGGCTTATTTTATGATCTTAAGCTGGTGGTTCCAAAAGAACTTTCTTCATGCAGATGTTGGCTCCCACCATCCACAAGAAGCTGAAGGCTCAGAGAAAAAAACTTTAGATGCAGCTCAATGGCTTGCTTTGACATATTAGATATTCATCTCTACCATTTTCAGCACGTACCTGCACCATGCTCTGAAGCTCCTGAAATGAAGCAGCCAACCTCTGGTTCTCTGCTTGCAATTCAGATATCCTTTCGACAAGGCCATGATCCTCAACCTCTCGCTGAGGAGATGCTGCTGCCTGTTTCCTCAGTAAGGAGCATTCTTCCTCCATGGTGCTAACCTTGCATTTCAACTGATCCACCTAGAAATACAGGAAGCAAAAAAAAACCCAAAACAGCTCAACACCACCGCATGCAATGCTGAGAAAGCAGTAAGAGACATTTAGATACAGTTTTATTTCAACTCGGGCTAAATTCCAGAATAGGTCTGCAGTACGAAACCGATGGATAACCTGAAATTACAGAAAATATGGGCAAAAGATATATTTGTCCATCCAAGCATGGACAAAGCACATTTACATTCCCACAATGTATTCTGCATTTCTGGAGTTACAAGACAGAGCTTCTAAGTCAAAAGGCAGCTAGTATAAAGGTCGCCTCCCTCCTAGGGTCCTCCATTCCACCATTCCTGGCCAGCATGGCCACCTCAGGCACAGGACAAAATCAGGGGTGATCCCACTTCGACTATGACATGAAATACAGGGATGTAGCAAGTTACACATTCATGTTCAGTGTCAATGCTAGCCATCATCTGCCACCATAACAGAATTCCTCTCCACGGTCCTGTTACCTAAAAGCCAAAACGTTTCCAAAGAGTTTCCCAGACCTCTTGGTCAGGTTTTCAAGGTGCAGTTGAGTGAATTGGATACCTGGCTGCAGAGCCATAGGCTGGGAATTTTATTTCCCACGGTGTGTCCCAGGAGAAGAGCCAGCATGTATAGCCTTGGATAAGTTGCACAGTCCCTAGGACAGCCCAAAAGTAAATAAACTTTTGAGTACCCTACATCTAGAAAACCCTGGAAAATTTTGCCATAAGTCTGAATTGACGTGACAGCAGACATTTTATTACTGTTAGGGAAGAAGAGGGTCATTCCCCTTGTACTCCACCTTTTCTGGCTCCATTAATGCAAATACGTCCATCAGCAGAATTTCCTTGGATCTGACCAGTATAAGTTAACAGAAAGAAGTTACTTTGCAAACTTGAAAAGATGCCTTTTTTGAACTACACTAGCCAGGGGATTCCTCAAATTATAGTCCAAAAAGTAACTTCCCTAAGTTGCTCTTCGAGTAAATTCGTAAGTGTAAGACCATACTGTATAGCAATAGCAATGAGAAGGCAATGAGCAGAATCCCTGAAGCCAGAGACAAAAATAGCAAGAAATCAAGTCTAGAAGGATGTTTGTTGTAAACAGCTGTCAACACATGAGCTCACAGCTGAAGTGTTCCAGTTCAGACAGAGGAAATAGGTGTGCCTATTGCTCACGATGAAAGTCTGATAAGCAAGGTGCAGTCTGATAAATTCCTTGAACTATCCAGAGTGTAAAGACTACCTAGGTTATGGATTTCTTATCCAACTATGTTATGGCTCTCCAGCTAGTGTTTTCTCAGCAGATCTGCAAATGTTCCGGGTGAAACTCAGGTTGTATTTCCCCTGGAGTACTTGCAAAGTCATGAAGAAGACATTAGTCAGAAACTAGGTGGGGGCATAAAAATGTCAGAAAACAAATTAACACAGGGAAAATGTGTAAGCACACCGAGAATGCAGTCATTCAGCTGAATGCACTTAAAATACATGATACTTTCCTACAGAAAAGCAAATAGAATGGACAAATGTTTTTAATGTAGAAAAATCCAAAACTGTGACGCAAGGACAGCAAATATACATTGTTCCAGAGCTTGGAATTTTTTTTAAAAAAGAATACACATCTCGGATTCCTTGGAGAGAATCTAGGGAATTCTTGGGAATTACAGTCCAAAAGCATAACTTTTCCAGGCTCTGCACTGTTTCCTTCTCTCACATACAGATACTCAAATGCACAGCAGTTCTCATAGCCATGCATTTTAGTAGCAGTGAAGAAACATATGGGTTCTTTAACTATAGCTTCATTCGGATAAAATATAGGTCATTGAAGCTGGTGTAGCATAGCAACTAAGAACTAAAAAGTCCCAGGTTCAAATCATACACCTGCCATGAACTCAACAGATGGTCCTGAACAAGACTCTTGGCCAAGCCTCAGTCTTCCCATCTGCATTATGGGATAAGAATAACAACATTATCCTTATCTAACAGTTATTTTAAGTTGTTTAAATGATTTGGGGTAAGCATCTTAAATAACTAGCCTTAAGGTACAGAACAGGTTCAAAAGGTAATTATACAAAAAATAATGCACTACCTAGGTCCCATATATGATCTATACACACCTATCTCAAAAACACTTTCACAATTTCTGGGATTACTATTCTATGCAAAAAGATGCCTGCCCTAAAAACAGTGCAGCCTCTTTCATTTTGGAAGGGTAGCCATGTTAGTTTTTGCAGTGAAAACAAAAAAGGTCAATGAATTAGGTCCACAAAAGTTTATGCCATCATAAATGTGTTATATTTCTAAGGTGGCACAAAATGCTTTGCTGTGCTTACAGCCTGTTCAGTTCATTAAAAAGAAGACTAAGAAATGGCTTGGTCGCTGCCTGTGTATTAATGCCTTCTCAGAGCAAATGTGAATGTCACTACAGGGCTCAGACCTCACTGATGAAGACTAGGACTGCCTCTATCTATCATTTTTACAGCATCATCAATATGCATAGAGCTTTGTAGAGAAAAACTGCACGCAGTTCCTTTCTCTATAGTGGCTGCAATACACAAGGGAACAGACGAAGAGACCATAAGAGGAGGGACAGGCCGACAAACGGACATACACACAAAATGGTATGACAATAAGCAAACATAGTTTATGTGCAGGCTGAAATCAGCTGCAGTTTTTAAGCTCTGGGAAGAACTTTAAAAAGAACACTACAGAAGACAAAGGCCTAAATCCAGCCAGAAGTCCCAGACAGAGTAGGTGCACGGAATCAATGAGATTTACATAATCTTGAGCAACCATTCAGAAGTTGAGTCAATGGGTTTACGTACTTTAGGTGGCACTAGCAACCAGATTTAGGGACGTGGTGGCGCTGTGGGCTAAACCGCAGAAGCCTGTGCTGCAGGGTCAGAAGACCAGCAGTCGTAAGATCGAATCCACGCGACAAGAGTGAGCTCCGATTGCTTGTGCCAGCTCCCGCCAACCTAGCGGTTCGAAAGCATGCAAATGCAAGTAGATCTATAGGGACCACCTCGGTGGGAAGGTAACAGCGTTCCGTGTCTAAGTCACACTGGCCATGTGACCTCAGAAGTGTCTTCGGACAAAACGCTGGCTCTATGGCTTGGAAACGGGGATGAGCACTGCCCCCTAGAGTCGAACATGACTGGACAAAAAAATTGTCAAGGGAAACCTTTACCTTTACCTTTAGCAACCAGATTTAGGCCAAGAGCCTTCAGAAAGGATTCGCACACACAGGAACTGTTCTCATGATGAGTCATCAAATTGCTTCCAACTTATGGAGATTCCACTAGGTTTTTCAAGGTATCTAAGTTGTTCAAAAGTGGTCCACCATTGCCACATACACAGCCATTCATTTTCAAATCCCCCAAAGGGACTAGAACCCAGGGACAAGAACCCAGATTTCCTGAGTCCCTGTCCACTTCTCCTTGTTGCTTCTCAGCAAGGAACAGATGGGTGTATTTGGCACATCACGGAATGCTGCACCTGGAAGAATGGACCACCGTTCAGTGGTAAAGCATATTAGATGAGCTGTAGCGCAGTGCTAGAGCTCACTGCTTGCATGCAGGACAGCCCAGGTTCAATTGCCAGCATCTCTGGTTAATTCCTTTCCTCAAAAACCATGGAGAGGTGATGTCAGCCATTCTTGATAAAAGCCAAGTTCTTCCTAACCTGAAGTAAGACATTTGGTTAGACAGGCAGAAGGCAAACCTTGGAGGGTCTAAGAATCACCACAGTTGCCAATTTCAGCCTCTCTAAACCTCTGTCTACATATGTATCTACAATTAACTATATCAGGTATGTATGTGAACAATTTTGACCGTCTACATTGAGAATACCATAGGCAGAATGCCAGTATGACAGGCAGCTGAATGACTGAATACTAACTGGTTGAATTGAGGACAATGTAGTGGGGAGGAATCTGGTCTATGTATTAGTTTTAAGGCAGTTTGGAGTTAAGAGTTTAGATGCAGAGGGAGAAACTGTTTACAGTTAATCACTAATCAGTTGTGCTAGAATTTACAAGAAAAGCCTGTTTTGAGAGCCTAGTGTGTGTGTCAGCAAGTCAGTGAGTGTTTGAAGAAGTTAGCTTGATCTTGAATTACAGAAAGAATACATTTGGATTTCACTGTCGTTTTGATCTTTATTGCTCATACCTCAGATCCGACCTTTCCCTTCATACCAATTACCTGTAGTCCCTCAATAAAATCCTTTTTGTTTCGTTAAACCAAATTTTCCTTGTTATTTATTTTATGTATAACTAAGAACTAAAACAGAGTACAAACATTCAATAACACACTCACAACAAAGATATGTGCTACCAGTGGGAACAAAGAAATTAACTAAAATAGGAAAAGGTTTCCCTGAAACCTGAATATTAAAAATGCTGGCTTGGGGCACGGAGGCTCTGGCCGAGACAGAATAGAAGGGGTAAGTAAGGCTACTATGGAAGTGGGGAGCCAATGACTGGAATTGACCTCCCCAACTCTGCAAGGAGGAGGAGATATTCCATTTTGTAAAATGAAATATGAGAGGCTCTCGGGAAATAATTCAGAAACGAAGAATCTCTAGAGGTGCTTATCTGAATGGCTAGGAAAAAGTAGATCAGATATTAAAGGGGTAATTAGAATTAACAAAGGACAATGATTCTGAAAGATTTATTTGTGCCAACATGCCTTCCTAAAGGATGTGCAATGTTGTCTAAGCATTATGCAAAAACAGCAATCTGGAATTTCTATTCTTATGGCTCTAGGCCTTAACAATCACCTGCATGAATAATACCCCCTCATGCTGAGAAAGCGGTGTTTATACACATGCAGGGTGTGGCCTCTCCTGGTAGTGAACCCAGTTGATCTCTCATTTATTCCTGAGAATCCAGGTGACAGCCAGCCCAAACAAATGCATTTCTTTGCATCCTCCATTTTCATCTTGGTTCCCTCAAATGCTGATTTCTTACTTTTCTTCCTTTTTGGGGAGGGAAACTTCCATGACTATTACAGTCCAGTCTTTTCAAGACATGAACAGACTGTAGCACAAATGTATCACAATCACCTGAAGCAGGTGGGCAGGGTGGGTGTTGTGATGGCTGTGGGCTCTATCACAAACACAAACACACATGCATGCACACCGCTGTAACTAGTTCTTGCTGGCAACCATCGTACCCTTAATAAATGCCTTTTCCCACCATAACTATTAATTTTAAAAAGAGCAGTGAATCTAGGCCCTCTGCAGCAAACAAAGCAAGCCCACAAAAACCCTCACTCTAACCCTGAGGACAGACAAGAGCGAGCCAACTGCCTCAGGGGCTCAAGGAACAGCTGCAAGCCATTCGCCTTGAGCATCCTGCACCTTGCCCTACACCCATTTCCCTCAGCTGCAAAACAGGGCTGCACATGACACAGACCTGTCCTAATCACCCAAGAAACCCATCACCTTCAGGCCCAAAGAGCGAGGCTCTCCCATTGCCAGTATTCAAAAGCCAATCAAGTCCTCCACTGTACATGGAGGAGTGCCATCTTGTCCTTTTCGTCAAGCAACAGTGTGCCTTGGCCCAGCCCCGAGGCGCACAGCAGTCTGCAGGCAAAACGCCTGCCAACACAGGAAACGCTTCCTCCTCTCCAACCACCTTTGCTGCAGAAGTGAATGACTTCTGAATATTGCAACAGTAAGATACTGGGAGGAGGGAAATGGACCTGAACAGGTTGCCTTCCTTTCTAAAGGGCTCTCTTCCTCCTTATACAGTGGGGTCTCGATTTAAGAACTTAATCCGTATTGGAAGGCAGTTCTCAGGTCGAAAAGTTCTTAAGTCGAATCTGCATTTCCCATAGGAATGCACTGAAAACCATTTAATCCGTATCTGCTCTTTTCGTCCATAGAAACTAATGGGAAGCTGCTATTCCGCCTTCTGCCACTAGAGGGGGATATTTTTTCTTTTTTCCTTTTAACCTAAGATGACTTAGCTTTAAAAAAGGGGGGGGGGAAGAGTTCGTAACTCGAATCGAAGTTCGTAAGTCGAGTCCATATAGTTTTATGAGAGCGGTTCGTAAGTCGAAACGTTCGTATGTCGAGCCGTTCGTAAGTCGAGACCCCACTGTACGAAAGCTTACACATGCTTTAACTGGATGGAACACCTACTGATCAAAACGTAGGAACATGTGATGTTGCCTTATACTGAGTCAGATTAGTGGTCCACCATAGTCCAGGTGGGGGGGGGGGACGCTGTCAGCTCTGACTGACAGTGGCTCTCCAGGGGACACTTTTCTCTTAGTCCTTCCTGAAGATGTCAAGGATCTTTCTGCATGCAAAGCATATGGTCAAATGGTGAGCTATTACATCCAATCCTCAAGATAGCACCAAATACAGCCTGGTACTCTCCCATCCAAGTACTGACCTGACTCTGCTTAACTTCTGGAATTAGATGACAACAGAGATGTTCAAGGTGGCATGGTAGTTATCATACACATAGCGATTGCCAATGATTCACCATTCTTTTTTTTTAATCGTATTTTAGCTATGTAAAAATATTTTATCCAATAAAAAGCATCCCTGTGTACTTTAACATACAGGTTTATTGACACATTTTTAAAAAACCTAAATGACCACTCATTTGGTGAGCCAGGTCTGCACCAAGTTGTTCCAAGCCTCGATCCAAAGCTGTACATTTGGACTCTTTTTTTTTTTTTGAGACACCTCCTTCCAACTGCAAAAGGAATTTAAATTCTCCCAGTGAATGGTATAGAATCCTAACAGAAAATCCGGATATGGTGCAAAGTGAAAGCTAGAAGAGTTGACTTTTTTGTCTACAACTCCCAGGATATGTCAGACAGCAAGGGTAGGAGAATTACTGTCCAAAACAAAAACTTTCCAAAGACCTAGTGAGGTCCTTCAGCCAAGACACAGGATATAAAACCTGCTGTGGGATTGATTCTCAGACCGCTCTGCCTGAGACCTTAGCAGCAAGCTCTTGTTCTCTTTTTTAAAAGAGAAGCAAAGGTTGTACTTTATCAGCTTAGGTCTTTTGGCATATCAGAGAATCCCTGTTGGGGTTATGATGAGCTGCAATGGACTCAGGGGAGACATTTGGACAAGCTCAAAGCTTGCAAAAACTAGGGCAGGCAAGAAGGTGTGGCAGTGAATTTTGCAGAGAGACAAGAGTCCAAAAAAAGAAAGAAAAAAGAGGACTTCCCAAAGTGCAAGCAAGTGAAGGGAAAGAGAAACTAGGAAACAGAGGCAGATAGTTTCAGCACCCAGGATGAGACACAGCCAAGGAACTCAAAAGCAAGAGATGCCTTTTGCTTATTTCCTTGAATAGGAGTTGCAGTAAGATCAGAGCAGCTACAATGGAGATGCTTCATTAGTACAGGGACGTCTGGCACATGGAAGTGACTCTGCTTCAACTGTGATGTACACACTACCTCATGCTTCATCAGAGAGGCAGGGTGGTGTAGCGACTCATGCTCTGAAAGTTCCAGTCCTCGTTGAGTCATCAAATTCACTGAGCTATAGAACCTTGGATCAGTCACTTCCTCTCGGTCTGGACTACCTTACAGGGTTGTTGTGTAGATAATATGGGGAGAAAGAGAGCCATTTATGCAGACTTGAAGTCATTAGAGGAAAGGTGGGACATAAATATAATTAATAGAAAAAGTATACATTGCATACGCAAAACAAATATAAAATACTGCAAGAGGTCTGCAGATTCATGTTTTTGGACTGTAACTCCCAGAATTCCCCTAGGCATCACAGCGCACGTGCACACACGCGCGCGCACACACAAAGCACATCCCTGCTCACCATAACACAGCGCACGTGCACACACACAAAGCACATCCCTGCTCACCATACCCCCAGTTGCAAGTCCCGGCTTCGTAGGACGGCAGCATTCTTCTCCTCGCACAGCTGTGCGTAGCGCATGGCCAGCATATAATTTTCATCCTTCAGCCTCTGCAGTTCCAAACTGTTGGAGTCCCACTCCTCCTGAAACCTCTGCCACCGCTCCTGCGCTTTCTGCAGCTCCTGCAGCTGTTGCTTGAGCTGACTGCACTCCTCCTCCAGAGCTTGGTTCTTCACCTGAAGCTGATGCTCTTTAGCCAGGTGGCCTTTCCGCTGGGCCCTCACCTTCTTCACCTCCATCATGAGGAACTGTGTCAGGCCTTCAGGGCCCTCTTCATCTGGAAACAAAAGACACAGAACATACATCAAATTGAGTTTTCAGACAAGATGCCAAGACCTACTAAGAAGGCTGACTGCTGAAGAATTGATGCTTTTGAATTGTGGTGCTGGAGGAGACTCTTGAGAGTCCCTGGACTGCAAGGAGATCAAACCTATCCATTCTGAAGGAAATCAACCCTGAGTGCTCACTGGTTGGACAGATCCTGAAGCTGAGGCTCCAATACTTTGACCATCTCATGAGAAAAGAAGACTTCCTGGAAAAGACCCTGATGTTGGGAAAGTGTGAAGGCAAGAGGAGAAGGGGACGACAGAGGACAAGATGGATGGACAATGTCATCGAAGCTACCTACATGAATTTGACCCAACTCTGGGAGGCAGTGGAAGACAGGAGGGCCTGGCGTGCTCTGGTCCAAGGGGTCACAAAGAGTACTGCAAACACTTTAGGCCAAAACATTATAGCTTTCTAGTTAGGAAGATTATGTGGTGATATAACGTGATCACCTAGTCCAAAGCTGAACTCAAAAAACTACCAAAGGAAGTTAAACAATAATTACATGTCATTTACAGCTTAAGTCAACTCTATTTCTAACTGCGAAGCTGCCCATACTCTGTGCTTAGCTCTGAGCTTCATAAAAGATGAGTAGCCTCTTAGCTTTAGTAGTCTCTGATCCAGGAAAAAAAATCCACATCTGATGCTTACATTTACTATATAATGGTCCAGAGTTCAGCAATTCTTACCCAGGATCATGGAGCAACGCTGAACTGGCTGCTTCCCTGTCAACCTGGTGAAATGTTCTGGGTAATAGAATTCCAGGGATTCTAGAAAAGCTTCATAGCCTCGCTTCCCTCGTCTTCGGAGGATATCCATGAGGAGTCCTGTAGTGAGAAGTACAGGTTTTTTTAAAAGTCTCCACAGAACTAACGCCTGCTCCATCACCAGTATGCAGAACCACATTCATAACGCTTGGCAAGGTTTGGGGGGGAACTGCAGTCCAAAAAGACTATATACTCCCACCCTGCTCTAACCATTGATCCTCCTTGGCTCTCACCCACATGCTTCCCACCAAAATCCGAAGGGCTCAGTAGATGCCAGGGCAAGCATTCGCCCAACAAAAGTGTACATCAAAACCTCCATGTCTGAATAAATCAACCCATAAAATCCCTGGAGCTCCATCTCATCACAGCCAGCCAAGGCTAGATCTTACACATGTAAGTTGCAAACACCAGGGACTTCTGTCTGAGCGACTCCGTCAAGCTAATCTCACTCACAAGCCTACCTGCCTGTCATTTCAGGCCTACACACATAGGCTCCTGGCTAATTTCTTCACCAGCATGTTGAACAAGGTACCCTTAAGAACAAGACCAACAGACCAGGAAAACCATCCCCGGTTACAAAATGCAAAATTTACTTCCCACGGAACAAAGCAATTAAGACTGCTCTATACTTGGTGTACTTGGCGTGACAGCTCGAGGTCCCACAGTGTTCCCTCAGCAACCACTGGATGAAAACATATTAAAGAGCGTTGAGGGCAGATACACATTTCAAAACAGTTTTTGAGGCATTCATTAAAGAGCTTCCCATGGCCACCTCTTCTGTCTTTCAACATGCATTTCTCCACATCATACCCACAGCTTGGAAAGAAAATCATACGCTACAGGTAATGTACAGTAGCTACCTAAAAATAGTCACTTTGGATGTTACTAGAGTGTAACGTAGTCCACTTTCAAGAGTTCCTTGTAAAAGATATTTTGCCAGAGGTTTTCAAGTTTTATGCCATTCTCTTATTGTTCCTCAGTCACCTCCCCACACAATAACACAAAGGTGACAGAAATGTAACAAGCACCACAAGAAGTTACTCTACACTACAAAAAAATAGTGATATTTCACCCACAATGTCCTGATTTTGTCTTAAAAGGTCTTTTTTAAGAAAGAGGAAGTAAAGGCCTAAAACAGGCCATGGGCAAAAGACATGTTTAAAGGAAAGTGACCTGCAGGGGACCTGATCCACCATTTTGAAGCCTTTTTATTCCTAGTGGTTTTGGGTTGGAAGGGCTACACTGATGGGCCTGGGAAAGCACAGGCAACCTACAAACGGGCTCTAACCACTGCACAGCACCAATTCTCTTGTGAACTCCCCAATGAGTCTTTACCTTCCCTTACCTGTTCGGTTGCTCTTGCACGGAAATCGATAGGCACTCAGCACCTCCTCTTCATCCTGCTCATCTATCACCCGGCATTGGCGCAGGTATGGTGTCAGTTTTGCTGGGTTCAGAGAGCGGGTGAGCTGGTGCCGCGCACTCTCAATTTTCTCCCACAGGGCGCCCTCTTCCTCTTCCGCCTCAGAGAGGCTTTGGGCCTCGTTGATGAGATCCTCAGGCCCTAAGGAAACACATTCAAGATCATTAAAAATGAATTAATTCTCCCTTAAGAGCTTTTAATCTGTTAGCTGAACTAACAAGCTGAGGGGGTATTTAGCAACCTTCTGAGGCATGCACATGGCTCAGCTGGGTATCTGAACCTCTGCACAGAACATGGAACCAAGTGGATGCTGGTTTCTCGGAATTACCTTCTGTGAAGCACAGTGATGTGATCTTGCACATGCAGGATTGAACATGTAAGAAATAAACAGTAAGGATGAAGAAGGCATTTACAGATCTGAAACAAGAAGCACAGTGGGCCTTAGATCAGCAGGGGGAGTTATTGATGGAGTTTTATTCTCAACCTCACATTCTGTCTGTAGTTTGTGTGACCGGGAAGGAATTTTCTAGACTGGGATGATTGTCTATCCAGCACTAACCAATCATTCCTTCCAGTCTTTGATTTCAAAGAGAGCCCCGCTTCTCTGCTGAGTTTTTCCTCTATTGGTTGCAGTTGTTTGTTTGCTGTTGATCTGTTTGGTTGGTTGTTAAGTATGCACGTAGCAAAGAAAGTGGCATACATAAGTCTAATTCCAAGCAATTGAAAACAATTTTTTTTATTCTTTCTCCTACGAACGTCTCAGAGTTGAGTTACTGAGACTTCAAATGCCAATTAATGAATGAAACGGGGTGGATTCTGGGGACATATAGCAATTTTCTTCTATGGATCTCTGCACTTCTAGTGCATAGCAAGAAAAAAATTACAAAAAATTCAGAACTGTGCAATATTTCCAACTGTCCAGGGCCAATTTTCTGCCTAATGAAAACCACGCCACCATGGAAGATGCAAGCAAAATAAAGGATCAAAACAGGAAAAGGCCAAATAACCACTACTGGTTTTCTTTGTTGTTGTTTTGAAGGAGTTGGGTTGACTGCAAATTCACAGCTCCTGAAAGTTCCTCCAGAGATTCCAAACTGATCCTCCATTTTTTTAATGGAGGAGAGGAAGAGAGAACCTCAAAAATATCCCTAAGGGAGTACAGAAAGTCCGTAAACTGCATTTTGCCCACCTCTGATTAGATAGAAGCCAATTCATGTACAGTACCTTGGACAGAAAAGTTGACCACAAAGAATGATACAAACAAGGGTGATACAGATGTCAAGGCAAAGTACCTTTATAGCGTTGCCTCTATCAAGTCTATTCCCCAGGCATACCCCTTTGGTAAAGCCCTTGACTTAACACATTCAGTTTCATTCTCATTCAAAAGAGTCTCTAATTTGGGGCAGGGAGGTTGCCACCTGAGGGATCTCAGCCTGATGTCATTCAACCCTTAGAATCACCCAGCTCTCTAGATGTTACAGGCCAATTCATGCTGTAAAGATGGCCTTTCTAGGAAACATTCTGCAATCAGAACTTGAAAAAATTATTTTGGGGCCACATTCATTAGAATATTCTGGTATCTGTAGTAAGAAAAGTATCTTTCCCAAACTCTGCAGCTTCTCTGCTTATATGTGTATGTGTAAGCATGAGAAAGAAGGGACATGGTTGCACAGAGGCAAAGAGCACTATCCAATCCTGCAATGCAGCACATTCCACCTCTGTGGACCAGGACTCTCTCCCTCCACGTTTAGACCTTGTTGTTGTTGCCCTAGCCATTAAGTCATGTCTGACTCTTTGTGACCCCATGGACCAGAGCACGCCAGGCCCTCCTGTCTTCCACTGCCTCCTGGAGTTGGGTCAAATTCATGTTGGTATCTTCGGTAACACTGTCCATCCATCTCGTCCTCTGTCGTCCCCTTCTCCTCTTGCCTTCACACTTTCCCAACATCAGGGTCTTTTCCAGGGAAATCTTCTCTTCTCATGAAATGGCCAAAGTATTGGAACCTCAGCTTCAGGATCTGTCCTTCCACTGAGCACTCAGGGTTGATTTCCTTCAAAATGGATAGGTTTGTTCTCCTTGCAGTCCAGGGGACTCTTAAGAGCCTCCTCCAGCACCACAATTCAAAAGCATCAATTCTTCAGTGGTCAGCCTTCTTTATGGTCCAACTCTCACTTCCATACATCGCTATTGGAAAAACAAGGTGAGGTCTCTGCTTTTTAAGATGTTGTCGAGGTTTGTCATCGCTTTCCTCCCAAGAAGCAGGCATCTTTTAATTTCGTGTTTGCTGTCACCATCTGCAGTGATCATGGAGCCCAGGAAAGTAAAATCTGTCACTTCTATTTGCCAGGAGGTGATGGGACCAGTGGCTATGATCTTAGGGTTTTTTTTTTTTTTTTTTTTGTTGAGCTTCAGACCATTTTTGGCGCTTTCCTCTTTCACCCTCATTAAGAGACAATCTTGATTCCGGCTTGGGATTCCTCCAGTCCAGCCTTTCACATGAGGTATTCTGCATGTAAGTTAAATAAGCTTGGGGACAATATACAGCCTTGTCAGACTCCTTTCCCAATTTTCCCAGTTGTTCCATATCCAGTTCTAACTGTTGCTTCCTGTCCCACGTATAAGTTTCTCAGGAGACAGATAAGGTGGTCAGGCACTCCCATTTCTTTAAGGATTTGCCACAGTTTAGACTTAGCTCCATTCAATTCCCAAGATTCCAAAATTGCACCGCAGGTAAGTGCTTCAGCTCACTGAGCTATTTAGCTAGTTGAATTGTGTGGCCCACAAGAGATGCTAAAGAACTAAATGTTTTATTTACTTATGGTGCTTTCATACTGCTTTTCTCCCATACTGGCTCTCAGATGGCTGCAGTCTGCTCATATCCTAGGTAGAGGTCACAGAGAAGGTAAATAGCCATATTCTTGGTGGTAGAGAGAAGTGGGTGTGCTTTGACCCTCACTAAGGCAACAGATGGTTGATGCTCAGGGTCGAATAGAGAGAAATGAAAGGACGTAATGACCTCACTTAAGGATTTCTTCTACTTCCAGTTTTTATTTACGTATTTAAAATATTTTCCTCCATCTTTCTCCTTAAAAAAGGCGGCTTACATCATCCCTATTCCCTGCTCTTCCTTTCAACCGACCAGAAGCACGTCTGTCTTAAGTTTCAGTTTATTCGACCTTATGCAGTTCACGGGACTATTTGACAACAAGGGTATTATTTTTTAAGACTTGAGGAAGCTGTACTTGCCGCATTATGGCCTGTGCTGGCTTAATCTGCAGGAATTATGACGTGAGGGGGCAGCAACCTTCCCCCTCTTTTCACTAATTATGAAGCTGTGTAGCTCTATTTCTTTCATTCCTGGCTGTGATTAAGCACAGTCCCTCTGGGGCAAGACAGTGGAGTTCCAAGGAGATGCCATGACTCACAGATCTCAGACATTCAAACTCAATGCTGAATCACCAGGTCTTTCCATCTCCATCCCCTACAGGCTTCCCTGGAGGTAGGTACTTTCTCTAATCGCTCTTTGCCATATATTCTATGGGCTTTGTGAGATTATAGATTTCTCAGTATTTAAACAAGGAGGCGAGAGAGGATAAATGCCTCTTTCAGCCACAAACTCAACCCTCACTCCCCACACATACATGCATCCATATATAATCACTTACATTTTAAAATTAGTCAGTAAGATTTCCAATTGCACAGCCTCCCAAGCTTTCCTGCTGCCTGAGGCAGAGCAGCAAATGGCATCGCTCAGCCAGCATTTACCCAACTCCGAGAGTACAGTACTTAAACCCAGCCAGGTTGTTTGAACACATGACAGAAATATCAAACAGATATTTTTACCGTGGCAACAAAAATGCAACAAGAAACTGAATAATGATATGCTTCTATTTCATGATATCCAAAAATCTGCTGGTCTAAGACATTTGCCACACCGTACCCAATAGGCAGAAGATGGGCTCTTCTACCTTCTTACCTGTCATGCCGAAGAGTTCCAGTTACAAAAAAAACCTTGATGAAAACTGTTACTTCTATGAATTCTTCTGTAAGTTTATCCCTCTGGTATGGCAAGCATTCTTCTCACCATTGTGCTTTCCGGGAAGTTCAGATTATCTGAAGTCCAGCTGGCGACAGAGCAAAAAAAGGCCTGTATGACTGTTGTAGTACAATCTTTTCCTTCTGGTTCATTAACTAATTGTTACTGGCCTGAATGAGGCTTCCTTTCATTTCTCAGTTCAAACTCCCACTAACTCTTCTTTTCTTTCCTCCTGTTTTGCAGCCCCACATGACTATCCTGAACATCCAAAGTACACACAACAGAACAGCCTACACTTTTATCACACAGTGCATGAGTCAATGAAAAACGTAATAAAATAGCACAAGGCTAGCCCATCTCTTCGACTCCACCTCCACGTAACTCCATGGTGTTCAAACATTCCCTTTGGCCAAGATGAGCTGCACAGGGGTGCTGAAAGGATAACGCATGGGAAAAGCAACTCACGGAACAAAGACCCACACCTAGCCTGATTTTAAACCAAAGGTCACCAAGGTTTCTCCCCTGCAAAATTTAAAAAGAGTACAGCTGATGTCCTTCCTGCAATACATTAGTTACAGATTACAAATGTGGAAAAATACAATAGTACCTTTATTAAACTGCAAAAAAAAAATTATCAATGCAAGCTTTCATGGATTAAAAATCCTTTTTTTCAGGCATACCCCAGTAACTTACAGGGCAGGGCAGAAAATTAGAAATGAATGTCCCAAAAAATACATGGCAGAACTTTGCCAGGCAAACTGTTTTAAGGTGAGTTTGAAACTGGTTGCAGGCAGCACTATGTGACTCTTGTATCAGAGAGGAGAGGGGTAGAGAGTGATTTATTTCTAAGACAGAATTCAAACTTGAGATAGAAATCTAAGTTATTGCTTTCGGGGAACAGGCTGTGCTTCGCCATGCAACCTTAGGCCTCAGCATCTCTCCATCATTTTAGAAATTAAGCTCCACATGCACATGAAATTAAACCTATCAATCTAAACATGCTGTTATTTAAACAGCACCACCCCACATAGGTGGCACTTCATCAAGTATCAGAGATCCCATGCCAAGTAGTTAACAACAGTAGAGGAAAAAAGCAAAAGAGACCACACACACAAAAAGGAGGGAAAGAGCAGCAGATATTGAAAGGTAGTGAGAATGCAATTATTTCCAATTATTAGGTAGCTTTTGGAGACAAGAGGCAACCATACACAGTCACAAACAAGGGTCTCAACCGCTCAGCAAAAATCACAATCAGAAAGGTGTATACACACACACACACACACGCACGCACGCGCGCACACACACACACACACACACACACACACACGCTTTTCTTCCAGTGCACACCAGCGTACTCCTGTTGGAACTGCAACGAGTAAGGAAGGACTGTTACCTCGAGTCTCTCCACTTGCTGGCCTAATTCCCAAGGGAGCAAACTCCACAACCAGATGGAGCAGCAGAACTTTTTATTTTCCGCTTTTCCCTTTTTTGTTTCGGGCCCCTTTCCTCTCAGTCCTTCGTTCGCCCACTCACCTCTTTCGCCCGCGCGCACAAAAACAAGACGCAGAAACACAGACGGTGAGAAAGAGAGGGAGAGGCGCACCTGGCGGGAGCAGTCAGCGGCCGTCGCCGGGGAGGGGGGGGGAGGCAGGCGGGGGCAGATCGGCTCCTGAATGAAGGCTCCGGGGTGGCCTGAGTCAAAAACAAGTCCCAGCAGCCCCTCCGCCTGCGCTCAAGAATGCAGGCGGCGTGGATTCCATTCCCAGAGGAGGGAAACTCACTCCAGTGGGCGGGGTGGGAAGGCGACCCGAGGCAAAAAAAAGAGCCAAAAATAAGATTGACCGGCGGCTAGGAGATGAAGCTCCGTTCAAAAGACTGGCCATGGCAGGCACGCTGGTCCCTTTCCTTCTAAAGAAGAGCGCGGGGAAGTTACTTTTTTTTAACCACCACGCCAAGCATTACCAGCCGCTCTGGGAATTGTAATTCTCTTCTTAGAGCCTCTCAGATAGATGACTCTTACACTTTTCCCACTACGTATAACTCTTCTCTTTCATACACGTTATTATTTTGAACCACACTGTGTAAATGCTGGCAGACATTATCCATGGTGCAGTGGTACATTTCGAGGTGCAGAGGCTCGCCCCTGTACATCACAGCTGGGGGAAATGGCTATTAGAAGGACATGTCTTATAACCTGCCCCTGCCTGCTACTACCCTAGTAAGGTGGCCATACGGGTTTGGGGAGAGGTTCTGGGAGTTGCAGTTTTAAAAAGTACAGTAATTTCCCCATGCTCTAGGCTGGGTCTACAGTAATCAAAGGTAGAGTAGGATTTTTAAAAAGTAATTTCCCCATGCTCTAGGGTCTACAGTAATCAAAGGTAGAGTAGGATGATCGCTCACACATCAATAACAAAAAAGGGAATACGAACTCTGTGTGTGTGTATACACATATACATATGTAGAACTAAAGTAGGCCCATTGAATTAATGAAACTTACAGGGGAGTTCACTCACCAGATGTCCAAGGAATGAATGGGCCTACTCTAGTTGCGACTAACTCTGCTAAGCAACCAGATTTCACCTTGTGTATACAATGTTCTGTCCAGGTGCTCATTGTAGGTGACCAGTTAATTTATTAGCTAGCATTTTTTTTTACTGACTATCCCATCTCTGCCTCCAGCCAGCTTGGCTGTTGACTATTTCACCGCAAAAGTAACTTTTCTAAACTCTGTAAACACCCTATAATGAAAATACGATCATAAATAAAATAACTGGCCACTTGCTGGCTTTTAGTAGTACCACTCAAAGAAATGTGTGACCTGAAACAGGAGGCCTGACCCTGCCACATAAGAACACCAGCCCTAGCAGGTGGTACAGGAACACTCTGTCTTTGTTTATTTTTCACAAGCATGCTTCCGCAGCAACCTATTGGGAACAAACAAATGGAAAAAGGATAAAACCAATTAAAATATTTTAAATATTAAAATGACAGCACCAATAAAACACCCAACAGCATTAACTATTAAAAATAGTCAAGAACTTGAATTCCTTAAAAAAAAAAGAAGCATTAAGTATTTAAAGCATTTGGAAACATGAAGGAATGAACCTGGCACCTAAGCAAAAAAGAAAGTGAGGGCCTGTCTAGCCCGCCTGAGGAAGGAAGCACAAAAGAGATAGTGGAGGAGGAGGAGGAGGAGGAGGAGGAAGAAGAAGAAGAAGAAGAAGAAGAAGAAGAAGAAGAAGAAGAAGAAGAAGAAGAAGAAGAAGAAGAAGAAGAAGAAGAAGAAGAAGAAGAAGAAAGAGTGTTCACTGTTAGAAACAAGTCCCATGTTAGAGCTGGACCCTGGGTGTGAAAAAAAAATACTCTTTAGATGTACGAATTCCTTTCTTTTTTAAAAAAAAAGTGCATTAATAATAGATGTAGGTTCCTCTGTGATCTACATCATCACACAAAAAGAGAAGAACAAATTATTGCTTTTCTGTGTTACTGACGACCCCACCACTAGGCAGATGGAAGATGCTGCCTCAGGCAGCAGATTTGACATGTCAAGAAAGGCTACCAGTTAAGTGTTTAATTTGTTATTGTTGTCAAGATGGAAAGAGAGGGCTTCTGGTACTTTGTCCTCTGTGTGCCAAAACAACTTAAGGAGTACTACCTGTCTTGACTTGGGAAAATAAAGGGTGGTACCCATTGTGGTGTAACAGACAGGGTCATGCACTAGGACTCAGGAGACCTGGGTTCAATTCCTTGGCTCTGCCATGGAAACTCACTAGGAGATGGAACTGGTAAAACCACTTCTTAAATACTCTACATCACTTACATCTAAAACAATATTAGGGTTGCTATAAGTCAATTTTAACTTTCTGGCACATAACAATAACAAATAAAGGGCACCATTTGCTCCTACCTGACTTTGGTCAACGTGACAAAACAAGACGCTTCAAACACTTTGAAACATTATTAAAGCACAACCCAATCTCCTGCTGATGGTTAACTGAAGAGGTCACTGAGTGTCGTAGAAATTCTGCTCTTCCAAAATAGAGGAGCCCTTATCAAAGAAATGGCATGTTGACCATAGAGGCACCTTGCCCCTATCCATTGGTGGTACAGCCAGTCATGGGACCTCGCAAAGGTTATGTTAAGGTGATCTGGGATCTACAGCCCCCAGTGTCCCTAAACTATGTGAGTCTGAAGTAGGTAAGTAGTTAGAAACTTTCCTTACAGAAGGAAAACAACAAAAATTTAGTAAAAAAAAAAACCACCCAAAATCCCTCAGTTAGCATCAACCGTTATTTCCTGTGGTACCTATTGGAAAGAAAAGCTGGAGCAGGAAATGGCAGAAAACAGGTGAGAAGAAGCTATTTCCCACATTGGCAGCAACAAAGCATCACAGCTTAATCACAGGCATTCAACCTCTTGCCCAGCAACAACTCTGTTCACTGTTGTGAACATTTGAGCTTCCCTCTTCCTTGGTCCTTATGCTCTGATGGTATTCAGCACCTGATGGTCTTTAGACTTCTCAAGACAGGGCTGGTCCTACCATTAGACAGAATGAGCAGGCTGCCTCTGGTGGCAGATGTCAAGGGATTGGAACAACAAGGGATCATGGTTTCCATTGTTCTTCTAGAAAATCAGGCTTTGTAGTTTGTAACTAAGACAAGCTGATGAAGAGAAGTGCCCACTAGTATTTGGAAAGCAGCATACACCTGCACCTTATCTCTGTGAGAGAGGAAACTTCGAGGTCAGACAATTTACTCCTTGGTGCAGAGTGGTTTCAGTTGAGACAAGGAGGGGAGAGAAGTTACTCGCTTCTTCGTGAAAGTTCAAGGAAATTTGATGCCTGATTGGCAGATCTTCTGCCAGGCTCTGGAAACTGGAATTTGGGGCATAAAAATAGGGATAGAAGTTACTTTGTTTAGCCCAGTTATCTTTCAGGAGAATGCTATGCTCATCTACTGCATGACTTGCACTCTAGATATGCTCTGCAGCTATGCCAGGATGTAACTATTAGCATACATTAACTTTCTGTTTTTTGTGGGATTGTTTTGGAATTATTTTTGCCTCAACAATTTTGATTACTTATTTTGCTCCACAAGCCTTTTGACTCTTCTGTACTTGTTGAGGCTGTTTTGAAGTTTTGCTGTCTTTTTTTTTCACCACTTTTAATAGAATCTAAAAGTTCACAGCTATTTGGTTCTTTGGGAACTGAAAGTGTTGGTGATACTAACACTAGGCTTGCCTCAACTATCTGCCAGGAGCCAGTGTGATTTTGTGGGTATTTTTGGCATTCCTACCTTGCAGGTTTGACATAAGAGCAAAGTGCTTAACCTCGACCATTTCTCTGCCAGCTCCGAGTTGATTGTTTTAAAGCCCTAAACAGGTTGGGACTTCAATACCTGGCAAAATGAGTACTTCCAACTGGATCTGCCCATCCAGAATGCTAACCCCAAGAGAGGCCCAGAGGGAGAAAATGAACCACAAGGCCTTCTCAGCAGTTGCTCCTCCACTGTGGAATGAACTCCCTCCTCCAATTCATCTGGACCCTTTGCTGGTGATTTTTAAAGACATTAAAAACCCTGCTATCCAAGCAGGCATTCCAAAATATTATGCCTGCAGAGTAAGCTGAGGCTAGTTAGCCTTAATTTGATCAAGCCTGACATTCTAAATGTTTATTTGTGTAAATGTACTTAAAAGCTTTTGATTGCATTGTTTATTTGTATCTTTTTATTTTTTATTTTCTATTTTGTCAAACTGGTATTTTAATTATGTTGTAAATTGCCCAGAGAGGCTGTCAGCCAGATGGGCGGTATAAAAATGAAATGAATGAATGAAAGAATTGTGCGGTTTTGGTAACTTCCTGGAAGCACTGCTTAGTCAGTATGCACTGTATCAGGTAGGAAGATTTTCCCCAGGCATCAGTACATTTGACCCACACCAAGACAATCAGGATAATGTGGCTAAGTGTTTAGTGTGGACATCTCTGACCTGGGTAACATTGACTGTCGATAATAACAGGAGTGATACAGGAGACCAAGATTTTGGAAGACAGAGGCATGTTTGCCACATAGTCTGCTCTCTGTGGCCTAACCAGCTAACAAACGATCTTGAAATACCCTGATTGTTGGGTCTTTTTCCCCCAGTTCCTAACTCTAAACATATCCAAGACCTGTTCTTCTGACGTAGAGAAATCTTCCTTGTGCACACCCAAGTATGAGCTGCCACTGAAATCTGAAATTATGCTTCATTTCAGAGTGGCGTTTCCCTGGTTCTTTCCGATGGGGCAAAAAAATATTTTGTTCAACAAGCCACAACTAGAATATTCTGCCATGCCACAACATGCAGGGTAAGGCATAGGGCAGTTGCTGTTTATTCAGATTTCTGGCAGACTATGGACAGATTAGTCAAAGAGGGAGGTAAATACAGTAAGGCTCTCATGAACACTTCTTTGACATGCACTCTTTCCAACAGAGATGGGCATCTTGTAGA